ATGTATGTGAGGTTATTATCTTTATGCATGCACATCCTATGAACAGGGACATGAAAATATCAGTGAAAAGCAGGATTTTTGCACCTACTACTGCCTTTACAGTTTCATAATCTGAGAATGTCGCACCTTGGCAACGATGGAAAAGGGACCACGCTGATGAGTGACGATGATGCAACATACATGTCAACAATGATGTCACAGCATATTTGTCTTTTGAGTTCTGTTTGTAATTTTTAAAATTTACTAGCATCTCTTGATTTTTGTAGCAGGCTGATTAGATTATGGACTAACTCTGGTAGGGACAGAGGTGCTCTGAGCTCTGGACATGAACTAGTTGATCGTTGTGACACTGAGTTGTATGTACTCTGTGGCCTCACTCTCTCGTGTCAGCAGCAGCACAGGGATCTGCAGGGATGACAGCCATTACTCCTGAACTGTGTTCCTTTTTTCTTCATTACAGTCTTTATGCTGGTTCTTATGGCCTAATGTATCAATGTGTTAAAGAGAAATATGAATATTTGGGGTTTTGGCATGAAGCCAGGAAATTGGGAGTTGATTTTATGTTAAAGCAATGTGATTCATATTTTCCTTGAAGAGCTCCAGAGCTAAGCATCTTAGGTCTTCTGTTAAATGCAGGAAGAAAACACTTCAGTGTTTTCCAAGAAACTGGGTTGCTTTGTTTAAAAAGATTGGAAGAAAAAGTTTTAGATGTTTTGCAGTATTTCCCTATTTCATGGCTAAGATGTACATATCCATTTATTGATAGCAAATTCCCTGTTTTCTGTGGTTCCAAAGTTTACTGCAAGTAGCCTAGCATCCTTCCTGTAAAGGACAGGGATGCAATCTCATTCTCCAAAGTGGCATTCGGCTGTTTCCTCTCCTCCTGTGGTAAAAGACTGGGTGCAGCTGTAATGCAGCTGTTCTGAGTGCAGTGGGGAGCACAGGGGCAACCTGCTTCAATGCACAGCCCACATCTGTCCTTGGAAAAATTCAAAGTGACAGGAAGCATGCTGAGGCCATATGTCAGCAAAGCAGAGTTCAGAACATGCTGCATTGTAAGCATAGGTTTAATTTCTAGCACAGTTTTTGAGGCAGTTGAGTCTGGATCATTAAGAACAAAAGCTTCTCTGAATTACCACTATGTGTCAGCAGCTGCTTGAGAACTTTCAGCAAACTTGGAAATATCTTCCCCAGAAGCACGTGTTTAACTGTCACACAACTGTCAGGACTTACTGTACTTCATTCATTTTTGCATGTGAGTTACCTGCTTTATATGTTAAAGAATCAAGTATTTCTAAGTGCTGCCTTTGTTGGGCCTTTGCAGCTGTGACCTGTACTGAAGGGACATTTTCTCTTTGAGTGGTCTGGTATCTCCAGTATCGCTCCTGTGAGACCTGGCACGTGGACAGTACATTGTCTTTAGAACACTTCATCAGTTCTTAATCCCTTTTGAGTTTTGGAACACTGAAATGAATTGACTATTTGAATGTATTTAGCTAAACAATAGCTTAATAAGAGAAAGATGGCAGCTTTTTGATGTGATTCTTAACCAAGAAAACAGAATGCTCCTTTTCCATTTGTCTGATTAAAGGAGCAGTATAAATCAAATAGGAAAAGCTGGAATTGTTCATCTCAGTCCTTGGTTGACCTGCATCAGGCAGAGAATAATTTCACAGGATCACAGAACAGTTGAGGTTGGATGGGACCACTCAAGACCATCCAGTTCAACCTCCTGCTCAAAGCAGGGTCACCTAAGGCAGGTTGCCCAGCGCCGTTTCCAGTCAAGTTTCGAACATCTCCAAGGATGGAGACTCCACAACTTCCCTGGGCCACCTGTTCCAGTGTATGGGCACCCGCACAATAAGAAAGTCTTTTCTTGCGTTCACGTGGAGTTTTCGTGTGCTTTAATTTGTGCTCATTACCTCTTGACCTGTCACTGAGCACCACTGAGAAGACCCTGGCTCTCTCTTCTTTACACCCTCACATCAGGTATTTTTATACAGATAGAGAAGATCCCCCTGAGCCTTCACTGCTGCAGGGTGAACAGTCCCAGCTCTCTCAGCCTCTCCTTGTATGAAGGATGCTCCAGTCCGTCAATCATCTTTATGGCCCTTCGTTGAACTCGCTCCAGTGTGTCCCTGTCTCTTGTACCGGGAAGCCCAGCACTGGACCCAGCACTCCAGATTTGGCCTCACCAGGGCTGAGTGGAGGGGAAGGATCACATCACTTGTTCCGCTGGCACCACTCTGCCTAATGCAGCCCAGGACACCGCCGGCCTTCCTTGCTGTGAGTGCACGTTGCTGGTGTTTCTTTGGTAGTCTTCCATTCTTGACAAAATTTGCAGGTATGTCAGAGCTGCAGAGTTACTCCCCTGTTTTTTTCATGGCTTTTTTTTTTTTCTTCAGAAACATGATGACAGTTAAAAATATTCTTATATGCTACAAAATTGCTGTATAGGCTTATAGTGTTCACAGAAATGATTCAGCTTAAACTGTGCAATTAAAGAAAAATCAAACCCACAAGACTGTTTGAGAGGTGGATTCTATTTATATTTTAACATTGGTAAAATATTTACTGTTCCTTTACAGATCGATTTGGGTTTAGAAAGCAAGAAAAAGATTCAGTTTGGAGAACGCTGGAGATTTTTCTTTAGAATTGTTGAAAAAACCCACCTTTTACAAATGTCAAAATGTACCTCCATCATCCATATAAGATGTTTTTATTTCTTTTCTTTTGTCTCTCCTGGTTCTCTGTAAGATCTATTTCATAACAGGAATTGGTTCCAAATAACTGTGATGGCATCTTTGAAAATATATTATCAATCAGTTTTCCATGTGGATTTTCTGTTTTTTGAAAGCAATGCTGAAATTTGAAGCATTGTGACTTGTTGCTGAACCTTTGCTTCCTTGCCGTGTTTTCTTTCAGTGTCTCTGCCCTAACAGCTTACCTGCTAGCAGAATGTCCTTTCCTGCTTAAATTTCTCCCATATATTTTTTGTTGTATGTTCCAAGCTGTATGGATGATATATCACATTTAATTGCTCTTCTTCTCTGCATCTGTAATTTGTCCAGAGGTGCTAGTGAGTGCCTTCCATGGAGAAGGCACAGAAAAGCTGCATATCACTGCCTTGCTGTGATTTGACTTTGTGAATGTCAGAGCTACTAAATGTGTGCCATATTCTGCCTTGGAGTCACAGTTTTAAGTTAACTGGGATAACCCTAACACTGTTGGAGCTGCTGGGTGCTGTGACGTACCCCTCAACTGTATTTATAACTGTGTGTTTTGTTGCCTGCAGTCCTACAAAGAGCCTTCCTAGTAATGAACGGTGCTGAGTATCAACAGTTCACCTTGCAGTTGGTGTAGGGTCTGTGATATCATCCCAAATAATACAGTTATAGTCAGGATAGTCCCTGGGTGGTTGTTAATACTTAGTTAAAATTAGCCAAAATATTTTATGTTCTGAGTTATTTATTTTCCTGCCCTTTGTGACATGTTTGGCTCTGGCTAGTATGTTCTGCTTGCATCCTGTGCTATTTTTAATAATGTTGACTATCCTTCCCCCCACTTCTGTTGCAAAACAGAATGACATGTCTTTTTTCTGGTATGTGCTACTTTCACACATGGGTTCAGTTTCACCAGTGATCAAAAACAGATGGATCAGTTGTGTGTGAGGACTAGTTTAATTTGAGTGCTGCTGGGCTAATTGGAGTGGGCTAGTGGATGTGTTCCTTTCTTTTTCTTATACATGCAAATGAAAGTGTCATTTTAAATTGGACATTGTCTTTCTGTTTCCCTCCACAGAAAGAGGCAAAAAAGGAGAACACATAGTTTTTGGCAGGTCTGAATTTGATGATTTTCTTGGGAGAACCATTTTCTCTGTAAGATGCATTTCATGCTGGTTTGAGTGCATCAGCTAGGGACCTGCCAGAAATGGTGCTAATTCCAGGAGCATCAACGGACAGCAGAAGTCTTTGTTCAGAGCTTCCAGCAATGGCAGGGAGATCAGCCAGGTTCTGTGTTGACATAAGGTTTTCCCCCATCTTTCTGCAGAGTGTGTCCCATATTAGCCAAGCTCTAAACAGCATTAATAAATGCCAAACACATTTTCTGCAGCTGCGTGACAAAGCTGCCCGGAATGGCTATTTATCACTCTCACTCACTCTGACCCGATCAGACCCACATTACCTGTACAGAAAATTGATTGGGGGGGAGGGATAATTCTTTACAGCTTCTCATGAAAGAAACAGTTAATCATTTATCACCAGACTCAGTCTTTATGGCTGTTTATGATTCTTCCGCTCATGGCAGTAGGAACATGTGGGGCCCCAGGGAGTACCAGGACTCTGAGAATATTCTGAGAGAGGCTACTGTAGTGAGTGTGAGCACCTTAAATGCAGGGTAGTTTATAGCATGATTTGTATCAGGTCTTGGTCTTTAAAACTAATAGTAATTATAAGCTTCAGCACTGAGTTCAGATTGGACTAGCAGTGACCTCAGATCCAAACTAGTTTTCAGTGATGGGGCAATCCAGGGTGGGTTTTGAGAAAATTCACAAGAGCGTATCACAGCTAATAAAATTTTAAAAGTACGTGATGTGAACTTTTCCTTGCTACTGTTGACATTAAGGCAATGGATGGCTGGATGAAAGTGCATTTGTATGAATCACCTAGCTGTTTTCATTCTGCTTAGGATTTAGGCTGTGTAAGTTCTAATGTTCTGCCTGTCTGCTGTATGTAAAGATAATTTTAATCATTAAAGCAACTTCTACCTTAAGTTGATTAAGCTTCTTGTGCTCTTTCTTTTTAGACCCCCCCAACTATATCATTTGCCTTAATAAAAGATACAATTTCTCTTGACAAACTTGTAGTTCTATTGACCTATGATGGGCTAAGGATATGACTAAGAACATTAAGTAAAGAGAAATAAAAACCTATTGTTAGGGAAGAATAAAGAGGAAGACATCTTTGAATAAAGCCTTTAATAGTTTTTAGAACTCCATTCTAATACAAGTGCTCAAGGACATAATTGGCAATATATTTAACAGCAAGTAAAGTCTCTTCACAGGTTGGCTTTATCTGAGTTTCAGGGAGAATAAAACCATATCTACCAGTGTCTCGGAGCTCAAAAGTGAAAGAGTACTTGATGCCTTGATCGTAAGCCCAGTCGTCAGAGCCCCCTGCAGCAGGATCGGTTGATTAAGAAATAAAGTAAAGCTTAACTGGAAAAGTGTGGCTACGCATTGAAATGTGATATACTTTGGAGTCAAGTCATGTAGCCAGAAATGCAGAAAGGACAGATAAAAAGGAATATTCAGTGAATTGATTGATTTCTCCTGCTCGTGGAAAAGCTTCTGTGATTTTAGGCTGTTTGTGAACTTCGTTCCAGCTGACACATGCAAGCAAATGTAAATAAGCTAAACTGCTGCCTCCTCATCAATATTGTGGGGAGACCATGGGAGGAGTGTCTAAGGAGAAGAATGGCGTGCTTGCATGGGGTCATTTAGAAAGATTTGGTATCAGAAACAAATACCCTCTCACTGGGTAGCTTTTTGAGGTTCATACAGATCTGAAAGAACTGCAGATCTGGGATATCAGCTCCATCTTTTTCTTCTGCACAAATGGTACCCTCCCTTTCCAGTACTTTGGTAGAATGAAGGCAGTCTCTTTTGGTAAGGAAGGAGCCTCCAGAATTGCTAAGCATCACCAAAGCATTTTTAAAGGAAAAATCTCCATAAATATTCTAAAAATTGGGACAAAGTGTTTTTTAAAGTTTTTTTTAAAATTATTTAAGGAAAGAGAAACAGGGAAAAGATATTAGTTTCCATATTTAAGTAAATTAAGAGATCTTAAATATAGGAGATATTAAAGTTCTAGAAATCTAGATTTGGCAACCTCAGCTCAGCTTTTGACACTGCCAAGGTCATATCCTGACAGCTGAGTTCCCAAGAAGGGTAGAAGAATGGAACTGTAATTAGTACATTTCTCAGACTGTAATGCAAAGTAAAAGAAATAATTATCTGTGTTACTAGAGTGGTTGAAGCCATTCTTTAGGATTCACATCATCTTTTCACTTTGACTTGAAGATACTGGAAATGCAGAAAATCTCAGGTCGAGATGTTTATGTTTAAATCTAAGCTGTGTATGATTTAGGAATTCATGTGCATAGCATGAATTCCTAAACAATTTACCACATCACTTTAGCTTCCAGGGGGTCACACACTCCCTGGGATCCTTAAGGAATATATCATCCCATATTTTAGAAATGACAGTTTCCATATATACCTCTGAGTATATGCATGTGAAGAAAGAAAGGGCCTACTTAGGAAGAGGAACAAGAATCACTAGAAAACTGCATTTGATAGTCTTAGTAGCAATTAATATAGATGGCTAGTATATTTAGGCCAGTACTTACAGATTGTTCTAGCTCCTGGGCCATATGTGTATTTGGTACTATACAAACTGGCCAGCCGTTTGGATGCAGCATGAGCAATTCTGTAGGAAAAGTGATAAATGCAGATTTTCAGAAACTTTCTGAGTGAATCTAGGCAAATACATTGCTGAATAAACTGAAAAGCCATGCTTGAGAAGTTTTTGTTTGAAAACTATCGTTCACCTCTCAGAATGACTAGATGTCAGTAGCTGACAAGGCACAGCTTGTCCTGTTGTGAAAAGAGCTTATCAGTAAAGAACTCCAAGCTTTAGTGGAGTATAGCCCAGTCTGCGTATTGCTCTACTGATGTACAGCCCATTGTATAGTCCAGTATAGTTTGGATAGGTAAGTGGACAAAAGGTAACAGGATTTTCTATACTTAGAAGAAACTTGTACAAGAATAAAACTAAGTAAGAGAATCTTAGAGAACAGTAATAACTTGGTACAGTAAATTGTGAACGTACAGTAGTCTTTCTTTTCCTTGTATTCATGCAGCTATAAATTCGGAGTAGAGTCAGCTTAGTCAGTGGAGTTGAACACTGATACAAGTGGAAGCAGATTAAGGTCTTATAAATATTAACAGCCAGAAGAGGCATAAATTACCCTGGAACCATATGCAGTCTCATTAATTTCAATTCATTTCCTCTGCACAGAGGGACTCGTTCAACTCCCACTGATTTCAGTGAAGGTTGGATCAGGCCCATCAATAGTACTATGAAGCTTTGTATGTTTGCATTAAGGAAAATTACAGACTTCTTTGGAACGTGTGGCTTTTCCAGTTCTTCATTATACAGCATGTTGGTAATAAAACATGAAAACTATTACTAACAGATGAAAAATATGAATGATTTTTGAAAGCAGATGTTCCGTATAAGAGTAAGCAATGGGTTGCCATATCTTTCTTTACAGCTTGCAACTGAATGGCTTATTATTCCAGGAATTTCCTCAAGCCCCTTCTTTCTCTGTAGGTTATACTCTGGCTTACTTCCCAGTGGAAGATATATTGTAAAATATTCTCTGTTCATCCTTATGCTTCAAGTGTTCCTGTGAATTACTCAAAAAGGCGTATTGGACAATGTGTTTAGAAAATCTTAGTTAATTGAGGGAGTTTTCTCAGCTTCTACAAAATGGCATCAAAATACGTTTGCATTAGCACTGGCAGCCTAATTTATTGCAGAATTGCAAGTGCTTCCCCATTCCCAAATGTTGGATTTTGAATGTTCTAGAATTATGGGAGTTTGCTGTAGGAATTTGGTCATTTAGCACATTAAGAATACTCAAACAAGATAGACCAAGGAGTATTTGGAGCTTGTGCTTCCACCTATAACATTCGCTGTACCTGAATGTGGGATTTGGTTTCTGGTCTCTCTACTGTCCAAACACAAGCAATTGTAGGAAGAATGTTATTGCCTTGCATTTCACAGTCTTGGTACAGAGCGATTACGGTAGCTGAGTGCTCTCCAAAGTAAGGGGTTTTTTTGGTTGGTTGGGATTTCTTAATCCCTTAGCAAGCTGATTTTTTCTAAAATCCATAATAATTTTTAACACATGTTGAGGGAATTGTGGAGGTTGGAGACTACTATCTGCTAGTGATACCAGGTTTTCTTCAGTCATCTTTTGTTTACAATATATGCATTCAATCAGCAGCTGAGATTGAGTCAAATCTTCTCTCAATAGTGAATGAATTTTTAAATCTAATCTGATTCTTCCTCTTTTCAGATATGTGTGAAGTGGAAATTAAATTTGGAAAGACAGTCTGATGCTATGTATGGACTTGTTGGTAACTAGTATTTGCTCTTTCTTTAGTAAATTGCATACTAGGGACAGTAGAACAGCAGAGCTGCTCTTTGGGAAGAATAGGGCATTCCTTTCACTCAGCTGACAAATGATACCTTTAAATCATACCACAACATATACGAGAAAAAGTACGTCAGGAGATTTTTTTACCTGAGGGATTTTGTATTATTGGCCAGGAAGCTGTAAAAAGAGATTTGTAGAAAGAGCAGTTGAGATTTCCAGCTGTTAAGAGCCTGGAATCCAAATAAACAACTTTCTCAAGCTGTCCAGGTTGGAGATTGAGGTGGTATTTTAAATGACCCTCTCTAAGTGAAAAACATGACTGAGCATTTATGACTTCATCATGAAATGAAACTTTATCAGAAGTTTTGATATCTGATTTTTTTTTTTCCTTTAAGTGATTCTCTACCATTTGCTTTCCTAATAGCTTTATAGTCCAAAACCTAAAGGTAAAAAAAAAAAATAATTAACCTTATAGGAACTAAAGTCACCTCTTACTTATAATAATATAATGTAAAACAGCAGGAATAATACAAATTAAGTAAATATTTGTGAGTATAAATACAAAATATGAGGAAAATATTTTCTTTTTTTTTTTTTTAAATAGCACAATAATTCAAAACCATCCATAAAAAGGAAATAACGTGGAGATTTTTGCAGAGGTATATAAATAATGCCCAACATTTTCCAAAAGGGCAAGTGATATTTAGCTTTTGAAAAGTGGTTTGGATTTTCAAGCTTGCATGTTATCTGGAATACAGCTGCAAGGAGAAACATTGGTATCTTTTTGACGTTTGAGGATACTCTTTGCTGTTGAGTGATTTTCTAGGTCTCTTTCTTTGCACAACTGGCTTAACTGAATTGTTGTGGTTTGTTTGGTGTTTGTTTGTTTGTTTTACTGTTAAGAATCCCACTCTTGCAAGGAAAATATTGCTGAGAGTTACAGTAGCAGAGAAACAACTGGAGCCCTGAAGTCCTAGAAGTAACTCCAAATTAATACCTTATAACTGGGAGCAGAAACGGCTTTTCAGTTTCTGAGTTGCAGCTGAACTCACAGAGCTGGTCATTTCAGCAGAAGGTAGTATTCCCTGCACTCATCACCCATCTGTGTTTACACAGCAATTACTAATATTTTGCTTGATCTAGTGTACAGAGTGCATGGCCCAGTGAGACAACAGACTTGTGTTCTCAGTTGCCATTATCTTACATAATTCGCAACCTTTAAAGCTATTAGCTTTTAATGAAAGATACGTTACTGGCCTCTCTTTCTCACCTCATTTGGAGTTTTGACCGAACAAGATAAATTATCAGGCTAAGCACCTTCTGCGTATTAATAGGTAATTTTGGGGGGAGCATCTCCCTCATTTTACTCCTGTATCGTCAGGCTAGATTTGCCAGCAAATTGCGGCTGTTTAGAAACACTTCAGGGACGTTGATTATGCAGCTGCTGCATGTGGACAACTCCCTTTGCCCTCATAGTCTGACAGTGATCTCGAGAAGCCTTTTCACTGATTGACTGGACCTCTTGCTCTCTTCCCTCACTGGACTGCAAACTGATTTGCCAGAGGCTTAAAGCTGTATTTTCGCTTCATCTCAGTCTCATGTGCTACTTAAGCGACTCTCAACTTCCTTTGTAATGAAAGTCTGAAAATGTGTATTTGCAAAGTCAGCTTTAGCCAAGTGAAGCTAAACTTCTGAGGCTTCTTGTTTTGCCAATAAAAACAGACTCCCCTCAAAAGAGTCCAAGACTGATGTGTAATTTAGCTCACTATTCTGTTGTTGCTCATAGTTAAACATGTCCCCCAAGAGTCCGGGGAATCCAGCCAAGTGGAGGACTTTAGTATGATGCTTCTTTTTTTTCTTTGCAAGCCTGTTTCTCTGTGGCAGTTTCACAGTGTGTTTAAGAAATTGATCCCTGGTTAGAGGGTTTCCAGAGTAACTGAGTTAAGGTGAATGTGCCCTACAGCTTTTGGAGACTCTTGTCTTTCAGCCAGATTCACACATGAGCTTCATCTGGAAGATGCTGCTACTAAAAACATCCTTTTCACAATTGTAAGACTGCCAGTACAGAGCAGTTCTGTTGTGGGACATCTGTTGTGGCAAACTTGCTGGAGTAGCTGTGAAGCTAATTCCAAATATTGCTTTTCTGCCCACTTTCCTGTTTGTTGTGCTTCCCAGTTGACTTTAGCAATATTTACTTGTAACAAGTAGTACAGTCCCAGGACTTTGCAACAGCACGGATACAACAACAGCATACGTTGCAACTCCTCATCGGTATGTCCAAGTCTCTGAGATGTTCAAACATAGTCTCTTTTGCTGTTCAAAAATTCTTACCCACAAGTCTTTATATATCTTAAACACATTCAGGAATAAAGTCAGGAGTGAAAAGACTTTGCTCCCAGGGATCAAGTTAAATAATCAGACTGATATTCACGATGTCATGCAATATATTTGAAAGTCACCCTTCTTGCAGGCTGTACAGACTCTGGGCATATCTCCACTTTCTACTATATCCTATTTTAAGCACTCAAAAGGAAATGAAATGCTTGACCATCCCAATATGGAAGGTGAATTTCAGTGAGCTGAAACAATAACGAATGTGGCCAGTTTGCATTCAAGTAATACAAACTGAAATCCCATGTCTAGAAAATTATCTTGGATTGTAAATTAATATAATATTCTGCAGCATGCCAAACTGTAATAATATACATACATTAATCTGACAATGAGTATGAGCTGGCTGCAGACATGTATTTGGCGCCAAGTTTGTTGTTTAACTGAAAGATGGAATTGAACCTGGAAAGGAAGGAGGGGTGCAATGCACATTCCTCTGCTCTATCAAATCATTCATATACAAACAAGAATTGATAAAGCTACATTTGTCTGCTGAAAATGAGGAAAGCATAGGGTGACCTAATAGGAAGCTAAGGCCAAAATATGAACAGATTAAACAATATGGGCTGCACTGTTTATGAAAAGTGTGATTAAATACAGAGTTCTTTACTGCAAGAGGACAAAGTGTGAGTAGTAAAATGAAGATGAGAAGAATTTTTTGGGGGTATGGAGAGATACTGGTCTTGCCAAGCACATTTTTTAATTGTGAAAAGTTAATGCTTCTGTTCTCTGTAGGAGATGGATTCAAGTGTGTATTCTGTGTGCAGGGTAACACTCCAGGGTATAGTCAAGAATGAGTCAAGAGGATTATAAAGCAGGCAAAATGTTTCACCAGAAGGAGTACACATTTCTTTCACGGTGTCAGCACAAGAATATTGCGTAACTTCTGAGAAATTCTTGATCCAGATTTTCCTGTCTTGGGTGTTTTTATTTTTGTTGTTCAAGTATTGTTTGGATAACAGTGAAAGTTTTGTGCAGCACCCCAGGAGGGGGAGGGGAAACAAAACAACAACCCTGAATAAAGGGAGAAGAGTTTGGGGAAAATCCTTGTGAGCTGTGGGGTTGAGATCCTCGGAGATCCTCTTGCATCTAAGGACAAGAGTGGGAAGTTGTGGGAAGGAAGGGACTTACGTGACTTTCATCATATTTTACACCCCAGGGGTGGGGGTGGTTGAGGGATAGTTCTAATCCCTGACTTAAAGTTACAATAACTTTGAGGTTGTTCTGATTTGCTATAGCAATGCAGTGAGCAAAAAGGATGTCTGGGATTCTCAGAGTGCCCTGTTCTACCTGAGAAACCAAAGCCAGAACAGTTTTATGCCTTCTGGTGATTTCTTGAGGCTGTGAACAGAAAAAGTCTTTTGAGCCCCAAGGACACGCTGTTCAGTACGCTTGCAGGAAAGGAAGGTACAAGCATTCTCTTTATCTTTCTCTTCTGCAGACTTAGTGTCTTCAATCCCAAATTACTCAATTTTTATGCCCTTCTGTATCTCAGACACTGGAATGCAGCATAAGCCCCATGGTATTATGCTACCTTTAAATACAATGGAACAAAATATTGTTAATGATAAGCAGACATGAGGTTTTGTTTAAGCACATGTCCAGTTGCTCACTGAAAGAGATGAGAAATTGCAACTATATTCCCTTTAATTTATTGGATCTGTCAGAGTAAAAATAACATCTAAGATAAGATAATGGCACTATAAATTTTGCTTCTTCATTTGCAAAATGATTTATGATCCTCTTATTTGCCCAAACAATTTCTATTAAAAGTTGAGATTCTCATTCTTCAGCATTTCTCTAAATTCTAAATCTAGACAGAACTTTTAGACATGAAACACAATTGGCATAAAAATAATACGCCTTTCTGTAGCTGTCTCATTTCAAGCAAGTACAATTGTTGATTGAAATTCTTAAATTTTCTTTAGTCACAGCTTAAATGAACGTGTTTTAGTTATTTGAAGTAACCTGAAAAGCTGCACTTTCAAACCTGACCCAGAGCCTGTTGAAGTCAGTCTTTCTATTTAATTCACTGACATTGGCGTGAATTAGGCCCTTTCTGTTTAATTATCTCAACTACAGGCAATGTTGATTGGGTGATACTCTGATCTCATTCTCCAAAAGAAGGATTTTTGGCAAGAAGTCTTTCCTTGTTAAAAATCAGATACTGCACAAGTTGAACACCTCTGGGATCCTGCTGTCTTTTTGTTGGGATCACCAATAAAGGAAATATTTTCCCTTAATTAAGATGTTAAAAACACTCATAAGGTCACCTTGTCATGGTGGTCAGATTTGTGATTGCTTTGTAGTGGAAAATAATGGAACTCCCCCTGGGATCAATGTGCCTGATTTAAAATATAGGATAAAGTGATGTTGGAAAGACTAACTTACAAAGTGAAGTCAAATGGCTGAAGAGACATATATATAGCCTGCATTCCTGAGCTATTTATTTTTTATGCTGAATGGTAATAGCAGAATTGTCCTCTATGGCAGGAAAGGAGAGTTTTTATTGGTAAAAATTGTAGAACCTTAGTATGGGTGATTCATTAAATTTTACTGTGTATTAGAATAGAACATTGCCAATATAAAATTTTAATTTAATAAAAGGATTTGAAAACCTATAAAAGCACATAGGTTCTTATTGTTAAGGATTGTTTTAATAATGAGCTGTCAATGTAAACTTTTTTTATTTAATACTGTGAGAAACATGCTGTACTTTTAGTTATGTTTCATCACATTTGCTCTTGATTCAAAAAAATTGGGCAGAATGTCATGCAAATTTTTAACACATGGGAACTTTGTGTTCTTGACAACAAAGCAGCTTCAAGGGTTTTGTGTTGTTTTATTACTTTAGACTGAACTGCAATGTGTGAAATGTGAAGCTTTTGTAAAAACTGAAGACCAGAAATTACTGCAGTTCCCTGGAATAATTACAACTAAAAATTTCTGGAATATAAATTAAGAAAACAAAATCTTCATCTTAATTTTGTCCTCTCTTTTAAGCTGTAAAAAATGCAACAGGAAACCGCTGTTGGCCCCAATTTGTATTTGTGCTTCAGAATGATGACATCTATTTGGGAGCACTCATAAATCTGTCAAACCTGCCCAGCAGAGCAACACACAGTGTTGTTGCCTTGGACTTTTGGCAGAATCCAGGAAAGAGGGGGAATCAAGATATGTGTGTTTTGTTTTGCAGTGTTGTTTTCCCTGCCAACAGCTTCTAATTGCTAATATGCCAGAGAACTGAGTAATTTTATTATTCATGATTGTTGATTTTTGGCCTTATAAAATGTTTACAACTTTTATACACATTTAATAGTTTTAACCCCCTCTGTGTTTTTTAAGGATAGAAAAAAATATATATATTCCAGACTGTTGTTATTTCACTTAAGTGGCATTAGGGTGTGGCCTTTCTCTAGGATGAATAAAAGAGGTCTTGTCCATTAAAACACCACATTTATCCTCTCCTCTTCCAAATGAAAGGTGTGTTTGAATCCAGGCCTGTTTAGAAAGGCCTCGGAACTGAAACTTTTTACCTGTTTTGTATCGAATTGTTTTTAATTATGCTTTTGACAAAAATCGCCTCATTGTCCTGCACCTGTATCAATAGGAGTTTCAGCATTTTACTTCAGGGAGAATTAAGGTTCAGTACGGAGTGGCAGACAGAGATCCTTGTCTGCTGTTGATGATACCAGTTCAGTCATTTCATAGTGACTACAATCCATCAAGCTGTTGGCTTGACATACGGGGCATAATGTTTCTATGTAATGTATTTAAGCTACATGCACAGCAACCTCTTGAGTCAGGAAGAAGCAGTGCTGCACAGCGTAGTGGATTTCTGTACAGCATGACTGGAAGACAAACCTGACCTTGTGGCAAATTCATGGTGTATGCGGAAATTAAATAAAGCTCTTAAGTTTATCTTGTGCTTGAACTATCTTGAAGCCATCATGGTTTCCCTTGTTCTTGCTATGAAAGACTAAGTATTTTCAAAAACTGGCAGTACAGATTCTTTCCAGATGTTAAAGAAACTGCTTGAAGTTAAATGGACCCAAGTAGCAAGTGATGATTTTTACTTATTCTTTTCATTATGTCAAAAAGACAAAGAGACTTACCAGTTTCTGCTAATTCGATGGTAATTTGTAAGAAAACAGTAGCAGCTGGGAATAGGAGTGAATTGTCAAGTATGCCTTGACTGTAGAAAGATGTTCATGAATCAGCCAAAGCCTTGGTCTCCTTTCCAGACTCAGGTGCAGAGCCACAGTAAGTGGAATCACAGGGATTTTTTGAGGCCCCAAGAGCTGGGAAGAAAGGTGAATTCAATGAGTATTTAATGAAAAAAGCTGGTTGTTAGGAGAATCATGTTACACCACTTTTGTACATAAGCCTTGGAAATCCTACTGACAACATGCCATATCAGAGGAGAGAATATTTTATTGCATAGTTAAGACACTGGGCAACATGACATAGCATTAAATAAATATGCCCCGTGTGCATAATTGGAAGAATATGAGTATTGATGTAAAGCTCTATATTATGCAAGTGATTTGGGATATTGATTTGCTTCAGTACTTAACAGTCCTCTCCTTGCATATCTCCCCCATGTCTAGGACACTTCCAGGAAACAACCAAGTGGAAACCCCTCAAAAGAGACCTCTCTCCACCGACTGAAACCAACCAGAAGAAAACTCTTTTGGTTTCTATTCTGAACTCATAGAAGTGTGTGCATGTGTGTATGTATGTATATGTGTGTGTATACATGTGTATATAGATACGTGTGTGTGTGTGTGTATGTTTATAGAAGTAGCCGTAGTGGTGACGCTAGTAACCAAATCTGGTTTTTGCCCCAAACTGCTCCAGAAATTGAACACAAGCTACTCCACAATGCTATACTGGTGGTCTTCACTCAAGCTTGAGCTGGTCCAACCATCAGGTAGGGAAAATCCATAATTAAGCATCTTGGCTATTGCACCTCTGTATGATCACTTGCAGCTATTGTTAGGAGACGCTTAACCGCACCAGCCAGCATTAAAATTCCTGTTGGGATCTGTACCAGTGCAATGGCTGATGGTTTCTTTCTCCACATGTGGTCCTGAAATAGAATGGTGAAGCATAGATCAAAACTAAGAGAAAGTTCTAACAGTTGGCTTTTCCAGCAATATTATTCTTGAGAAAGAAGAATGTACTTACATTTGTCTAAGTGTAAATGTAACTATCAATATTAACAACAGGCAAAACATAGAAGTCCTAGCTATTGAGAAGTATGGTCATGACAGTATCTTCTCCATAGGTCTCAGCTTAGTTGGAGAAGAGTAGAAAAAGCTGATGGTGCCTTCATAGATCTGTATCCCCTGTGTGTATTTAAAGGCCTGGGTCTGGGTCAGGAATTAATGAATGTGGTGGGCAAAGTCATCCAGGTCACTCCACCACATGAGATGGCAGCTCTGTGATATTCATATACTTAGAGGCTTTACACTGACTCAAACCACACTGCTGTTAGAAAGCCATCTCATTCTCATAGATAAATTATATGGTAAAGCAGTGTTGATCTTGAATAGGATAATAAGTCACTGGAAAGAGATTTCCATCTACTAGCTTCTTGTTTACAGGCAGAGCAAAGTTGCTGTCTATGTATTCTCCCTACATCCTGTCACATTAAAGGTTTGGGTTTAATTTATGTGAGAAGGAAGAATCATTATTCCCATTTTTTTAATATCTTTTGTGCAGACAAATTTCATCAATAACCAAAATTTTAGAGAATATTTCCAAAGAACATCCTTACACCTTTGCAGTCATAATGCTGTGGATGCACATGTTCATAGGGAGGCAGATTTTTCCCTGCACTTTTCCAGACACATACATTGAATAACAGACATAAGAACTCCTGCTATAAACCTGTATATCCTGACTGTTCATGGCCTGGCACTTTGTATTCTTGTTCACAGATTTATATCAGTGTTGAGGGAGCATGCAATGATCATGGAAATTTGCTCTAAGAAGTATGTCACACCCATGTTTCCTTTACTTTGCACAGACATAAAGGACAACACAGGGAGCAATGCAATGGAGAAGGGCATCTTTTGTCCTGTAAATAGCAGGTAGGAAGGTTGGATGTAGAATCTAGAAACGAAGTTTCAGATCACTAGAGCTTACTTTTTCCTGTTTTGTTTTTTTTATGCTTGGGTTTTTTTGGAAATACATATAACAATCCACCTTGCTCATGTTTTTCTCTAGGTTTTTTTTTACTTTTATGTCTAGAAGTAATCCCAAGTGAACCGCTGATGATGCTCAGAGGACTGCGCTTTTAAAGCACGTCTGCCTATCCACACTTGGATCCACTGAGCAGAGCCACTGCTGGTGTCAGGTATACCCATGAATTAAGTGACCAGACAGTGAAAATGACAGCTGTAGTGACGTGAATTGCCAAGAGAAAAATGGTAGCACATACTGTCTGCAGCCTTATTAGGAGATAATGAAATCACATTCCCATTGACTCTACTGAGATGTCACATTCAATTTCCACTGCTCCCTACACAAAACCGCATGGCTGTCTGATAAGACTGAGATTATACTTGCCACCAATGCCTCTGCCAGTGGCTCACTCACATACTTTGACCTTCCTTTACTTGGGTTTTAAACCCCAGCTGCTGCTCCTGGGTTTGTTTTTTCTTAATCTTCAGGCAGGAATTCTTACAAAATTTGAGATTCAATCAGTGAGTTGTTCTGCTAAGTTGATTGATGTCCCCCTGCTGAGGGGGAATATACCTCTTCTCTGTAGAGAAGATTGTGCAGCATTTGATAACTCCCACCTGCTTTATAGTGGTGGTAAGGAGAAGGAAAAGACAAAGGAGATAAAATTGTTTAATTCAAGGCCTAAAGTATCCCAGCCTGAAGTGAAGCTAATTTCACTTGTGTAGCTCTTTCCTGAATATGGTTTCATGTTTTAGAAACCATTCTGTACAACTTGAAGTGGCAGCTCAAAGGGATGCATATGCATTTCCCTCTTCCTGAGTGGAGTTTAGGGAGCGTCATCTATAGTCTTCTTCCCTCCTCTCCTGGATACATTTCCTCTGCACTGTGTGCTTTGCTGAGGGTAGGTCTCCACTCTCTCTGTTGCCTTACTGACTAAAGCTGGTTGCAGGGAACACAGCACCTGACGCTGTAGGAAGATGGCTGTTCTGACGTCTATTCAAATGTCTTCTGATGCGCCCTTGAATTTCCTTATTCCCTACTCCTTACTAGACCTGTTTGCTTATCTCTCACCTTTCTCTGACTACAGGTACAAAAAGGAATTTATAGACTGTGTAAGTAACCCCCATAGTTGTCAGTACCTCTTACACATGCTTTTAGGTAGTCTTAAGCTGCTGAAAGATTACAGGTCCAACCATTAAGATCTGGTCTAAGTAGTTACACCCTAACCATCTGAGGTGAGAGAAGAGACGTGTGGACAGGTATTTAGAGGTAAAAAGGCAATCTGCAGTGGCGTCAGCTTTTGCTGCTCACTTAAGGTTTTCTTAAACATAGTTGTATTTTGTAAAATATTTTTTCATCATTAAGCTTACTGTCTTCTTTCACAAATCACTGGCAGAAAGCAAGGGAGATCCACTCTCCTGCATGGAAACCACAATCCATAAAGATGGCCTTCTTATTTGCACCACTTTTTCCCATCTAGGAAAAAAACCAACAAAAACCCCAGGTCTTGAACAAAATAATTTGTATGCAGAACAAGTAATTCAGCTTGCTGACCTAAAAAGTCAAACTTTATACAAATATAGCATTCCTTGATTAAATGGAAATCTGTGGAGTGCTCTCAGCTGTAGCTGACCGTGATATTCAAGCTAAAACAATAGACTTTTAATAATTTCATTTTTATTAATGTAGATAAGCTTCTCCACACCAATTATTTGATTATTCTGCACTGTTGATTTATTTCCTGCAATGTCTCTAAGAGTTGATCTTGTTTGCTTGAATGATATATTATTGTAAATGCTTATGCAATTTTGGGCAAGCAATCTTTATCCTTTCATATTTATTTAAGTCAACATATCTTATTTATTTATAAGAGTTATGCCAAAAAATTTGTTATGGTTTAACCCCAGCCGGCAACTAAGCACCACACAGCTGATCGCTCACTCCTCCCCTCCCCAGCAGGGTGGGGGGAAGAGACTAGGAAGGATAAAAATGAGAAAACTCATGGGTTGAGATAAGAACAGTTTAATAATTGAAATAATAATTATAATAATCATAATCATAATAAATTGTAATGAAAAGGAAAATAACAAAGAGAGAGAAATAAACCTCTAGAAAGACAAGTGATGCAAATGAAAACAATTGCCTCGCCAGTGCCCAAGCAGCAGCCCCCTGGCCCACCTTCCCCCTAGTTTATTGCTGAACATGACGTTGTATGCTCTGGACCACCCCTTGGGTCAGTCGGGGTCCGCTGTCCCGGCTGTGTCCCCTCCCAACTCCTTGTGCCCCCGCAGCCTGCTCGCTGGTGGGGTGGGGGGAGACGCAGAAAAGGCCTCAGCTCTGTGTGAGCACTGCTCAGCAATAACGAAAGCGTCCCTCTGTTATCAAAGCTGTTATCAGCACAAATCTGAAACATAGCCCCACACTAGCTACTGTGAAGAAAAGTAACTCTATTCCAGCCAAAACCAGCACAAAATTATATATGATGAAGATACAAATTTTTTGCCTATTGTTAGAGAGACTGACATTTATAGATCCTTTTAGAGTAAATGGGTTTACAAACAACAGATGGAGAGAACATAAAGGTAGATGATCATTCAAATAACTCTCAGGAGTGTGGTTGAATTTATATGTCTGAACTTCTAATAATTCATTATGTCTCTTTTAAAAAAAAGTCTTAAAAGTTGAAAAAATCATAGTAGTAGTGAAAAAACATATTAGATTTTCTGCAAAATGTATATAACTATCTTAGCATCATTGGTGTTTCAATAGACATCATAATCTTGTGGAGGTTAATAGAGAAAAAGTCTGGCACAAAGAAATCAAAGCACTTACTTTGAGAAGGTACATTGGCCATTCTTCGTATGTTTCCCCTATTACACTGCAAGACGAGGTTTGGGTTCTGAGCAGCAATATCAGCAGTCCAAGCAGCTATCTGTTTCATAAGGAGGTTAAATTTACTGATGTCTCTCCTCAGGTCCAGGCTAATTAATTCACAGACTTCAAGCCAGAATGGTCCTCCTGAGCATCTAACTTGACCTAATATTTAATACCATTTGTAGGTTTCCAAGAATTAATTCCTACTTGTACTAGAGCTATATGTCTGAATTAAGATTTTCTAGTATGAATTTATCTAAACCTGTCATTGGAGTATGGCTGGTGGATTACCAAACCCTTTGAATGCTGACCCTATATAGTTATGGCCTTGTCACCCCTTAAACTCTCTTAACAAAAGAAAACCGTTTTTCTTGTTAAGCTAAGTAGATTGAATGCCTTAAGTCTTGTACATGTTGTAATGTTTTTCAGTTCCATGTCTCTTTTATTCATTATCATTCTTGAATTACTGACAGAAGTACTGGACGGGGATTTGTAGGAACAGTGCAGCAATGCCAGATAGAAAAGAAAGGATATATCTCCTTCATTCCTTTTATTATTTAAGGGAAGTAATAACAGCCTTTATTATCTTAATATTGGAGCAGATTCCCTTTGTTACAGGTGCCTTCAGAAGCTCACAAAAAAGTTGTCACATCCACACAAAAAAGCATTTCATGTGCAAAGAGCTATCTATGAACTAAGAAAAAAGTCAGGAAACAGGAGACAGATCTAGACAAACTGGCAAAGAAATACTAGAAATAATGGTTGACATTATGGATGTTGGTGGTTTTTTCATGCCAATAACCTTTGCAGAGTTAGAGGAGCTTTTGTTCTTATTTTTAAACAGACTTGTAAAAGGAGACTTTTTTTTTTTCTAGGAGAGTTCATGTGGAAGAAAATCAATTAGTTCTGTATATGTTCTATAGATACCACCTGGAGAGGAAACACAAATTTTCTTGTTTGAAAATGTAACAGGTGCTTAGTGGGCAATGATTGGCATAAAAATGAAAGATTTTTGCAAGGAAAGATGTGAAAGGGAGATTGTCATACTTTTAAGAACTGTGATGCAATGGATGATAAGGAGCCACTGCAAAGGTGTGAAGAGTGACATGGTCAGGATTACATGTCAGGAAAAATGAGCATGGCTGTGAAAAAAGGAGGGAGGACGGGAGAGCTTACGGTGGAAGATGAAGAGCTAGAATTGGGGCAGGCAATGGAATCAAGTTCTTTAGCAGAGGAGATGGGAGGAGGAGTGAAAAGGAAAGAGCAAATTAGTAGTGAAGCATGTCAGCCTGGTCATTGGATTTCTGCCAAAGTTTCTTTGCAGCACTGGGAGCAGAAGTAGAGGAGATAGCTGTAGGGGGATGGGTTATACAGATTAACTCTGTAATGAGCAATAAAGGAGAAGAGGAAGGAGAGTTTAGAGAAGGAGTTATCATATTAATGGATGGAACAGAAGAGGAAAAGGGAAGAAGGCTGAAAGCATATCAGAAGTAATTTTGACCACAGAGGCTAAGGTACCGAGCTGATAAAGTGGTAAACTTTTAGACTTTACCATTTCCCAGCTGTTGTACTTTTCATAGCTGTGTCTGGTGGTACGAGCTTTGCTGTCAAACTGGGCGTCCAGTGCAGCCTGCAGGTTGTCAGTCAGAACTCTGCAATAAGGCACCATGAAAAGTGTGAAGAGAAACATACAACTTGCTAGCAGGAAAATAAGCACCAAGTAGACATTTTGGGGTCTTCCTGGAATTAAGTCTGCATGGATTGTGAAGTAAAATTGGGGGGCTGATTTATGCATTTGAAAATAAGGTATATTAGGTTCAAGTTTCAACCTACTTCTGCCTCAGCCTTGCCACCAGAATGATCAGGGAGAAATAGGTTCCTCCTGATTAGCACCTGCCTACTTACTCCCATACTAACAAACCTCCAGGGTGCCAACAGTTTGGTTTAGGAAGAATAGCAATGCTGAGACAGAGTGTGTGTAGAAAATGAGCTCTGGGCTAACCTCATGTTGCCAGGTTGCCTCTGCCTCAATAGGAAAAGGTCCCTCTCTTGAACTTGGAGCACTGCAGGAGGGTTAGACTGCAGCAACGTAACATCCCCATGCAGCAACCCAGAGATTTTTGCGTAATGAAATTCTCTGTCAAACCAAGCTTCCAAAGTTTAAGTGTGGTTTGGCAGCTCTACTGCAGGTGGCATTATCCATCCTACAAGCTACTTTACTGCAAGTGAGGTGGGTTATTAAAGTGGAACACACAATGGCAACCAGCATCCTGTCTGGATTGGTTGGATCTCTCCTGTTCATCTTTCCCTGGGGCTGATACAAAGGCACAGCTCATCATCGAGTATACTCTTGAGAACCTTTTGCTTGTACTTCAACCTTGGCTATCAAAAAATGAAGTCCTCTTGTTTTTCCAGTGCTTGTCTTAACATTCTTACAAATCTTACTCATCCAGGATATGTCCTTGATCGTTTGTGATTTGGATAGAAGAGCAGGAGGCCAGTTTGTGAGGCACCACCAGCCTTCAGAACAAACAGTGCAAATGACTACATTGACATGATGTCATGGCACCGCAGCTGCACTTCAAAAGAATTGTAACAGCTTGGGTTGTCACAAGGACACTCCACTCAAGTTTGTCAGGGACGCCTTCCAGACATTATGGCCTTTGTTGCAATCAAAAGATTTGTGCATAGACCTGAGGGAGTTTATGAATATTATAGGAAAAAACTAACACAGGAGTAACTCCTCCTTTGCCAAAGAGGAAATTCCACTGAAATTGGATTCCTGTGCTGTATGTGGGTTGTGGCATTATTGAAAATTATTTCTTCTAGAGTGTTTTTAGATTCTGTTCCCCCAGCGACATCCAAATCAGACATAGTTAATGTGAAGCCAGTGAGTTTAGGGATGGATTATCCTTGGATTTAGCAGATCATAAAAGTTATGTTACATGAGAACTGTGTGGTGACCAATGAAGGAGTTTGGTCTAGTGGCAACCACACTGGGGCTGAGAGACAAAAACTCTCCACTCAGCCAAAAGCAGTTGTAAGAATTTGATCAAGTAATACTGACTTTCAGTGTCCGAGTACATGATGTTGACAGAATATCCATTACACGTTGAAGAAGCTTGATAATCAAGCTGGGCTGAGCCAATGCTGAGGTGGAAGTAAAGGAGAAATGAAGACAGAGAACACCACTCCAGCCCAAAGTCAACTTCTCATCCTCGGTTAATGCTTGCATAGTGACTGGAAGATATGAAGTATAAGCAGTTGCCTGGTCTTGCTCTTTTCTTCTTACTCTCCCATTAGTGCTACTCACTACAATGCTTCCTTTCTCAGGGATGTGTAATATGGCAGTGTGGCCTATTCCCACCACTTATGCTGCAGTTGTATTTGGGCATGGAAACTCCGGGCTTTTTTTACTTCTGGGTAATATACTTACGAAATATTTAGGACAATTAAGAGCTCTCTCTCTGGAGAAATCCTTACCATTGATCTGCTGTGTGACTTGAGTAAGCCCAAGGCCACCCTGGGAATCTGTTCTCCTCACTTCCTTGGCCTTTCACCTGGCAACTGTCATCTTTTTGTCACCAGGTGGGTTTTTTTTGCCCCTCTAGCTGTTGTTCTACAGCTTAGAGAACTCAGTGGGGAGCCCTTCATGGTGGCTCTTGGGGCTCACCATTTTCTGGCTTCAGTTCCCTGACACTATTATGCAAACACATCTGGTGTACTTTCTGGCTCTTTCTAGACCTTTGCTGCTGTTTTGTCTTTAGTGGGAAATCTTTCTGGTCCCCTCCATACCCCAGCCTTGTGTACTGCAGTGAGCTTTTACCTTGGGGAAATTCCTGGCAGTAAGTCTTTGCTTCCTGTCTCTTAGTCTATCAACATTTCACCTCACCCCATTAACGCAGAGCAGCTACACTCCATTTGAACTGCCATAGGAAAGCTGAACCCAGGCATCCACAGGAGGGATGAAGTTTGTGACAGGAAGATCAGTTGACCAATATGAAAAGATCAAACAGATGTTCAGCATTATTTAATCTTCTATTCACAATACAGTATTGAGAACAAACTTATCTATACTCTGCTCCACTTTCTTTCAAAAGATCTTCAACCTCAAAAGACTTGTCAGCTTCAACTCAGAAATCAACCTGCATTTTTGGCCTTACCAGTGTGACAGAGTGTGGCTGCCAAAAGGCAACCTGAAAGAAGGCCAAATGAATACATAAACAAATAAATACATACATATGGCTGTGATTTTTAGGTGGGTGTATGTGTGATGTTGATTGTGATTAATGTACCAAATTTCATTCCTATCCTATTACACTGACCCAATCTTGCTTGCCAGAAGTATCAACCTAAATTTTAACTGGAAATTGATTAAGAAGATTTTATTAGGCTCTGCAATCTATATGGCAGAATTCTGGAGATGGCAGTGACAGTTTCACAAATGCCAAGTATTCTACAGCATGTGAGTGCATACAGACTTGTGAATATTATAACTTCTTTCATTCTTTGTACAGATTTCATTGGAGGTTTTTGCCTATAAGCCTTAGACAGAAATGGACTCCTGACTCAGTAGCAGAGGGACGCTACATGAATACTTTACATAAATCAGCTGGGAAAGACTGTTGTCTGTATGAGTGCTTTTAAAACTCAGTTCATTAATGTTGGTATGAGGAATCTCAGCCTTCAGAAGATGTTTAGTTCAGCATGGATAAACGACAGTGCTATTACTATTTCACCTATTTTTTCTGAAGTCAGCTTCTAGACCTCTGGATTTAGCACCCTATTAAAGGCCAATGAAAGCAAAGCTTCTTCACCAACCTAATGCCTTTTCAGCCTTTCATCTTGTGAATGTAAAGGAAATTGGGTCTGGTGGGTGTATTAATGAACTATGTGTCTTCAAGTGAGATGACTATTCCAGGATATACTACTACATCAGTCCTGACTGATTGCTTTGTATAACAATGGTAGTTCAGGGATCTTTGCTTTGCTTAAAAGAAAAAGATCAATCCCTTTATACTACACAATTAAAAGCAAGCATGGTATATTAATTTTCTTAATATTGGCAGCACCATTCTAATAGTATATTCTTCTACAGGACACTGTTCCAGCATGCTATACTAGTCTGTTGATGATGGTTCTCCACATCTGTACTTCATTAAAAATACCATCCTTTCATCCTACAGATAATGGTGTCTTTTTCACCAACAGCTATTTTACAACATCAAAGCTGAAAAGAAATATTGAAAACACATTTGCTGTCTTTATTGTTTTTCCTCATGTCATTGTGTCATCATATATCTACATCAAGGTCAGTAAGAAACATGCAGCTTGGTTGGAGAGAAAGGAAGCTTTAAAGGAAAGTCAGAGAAGAAAATATGACATGAGAGACTAGAGGCCAAAGAAAAGTTCAATTTGTTGGGAGTATGGATTTTTAGATTATTTACATGAACGAAATGTTTTGCCTATAATGGTAAAAGTTCTGGTAGTTGGAATTTCCATGTTTTATCTAATACATTCTTGAAAGCACCCCACAGTGAATACAGCATTTCAGATTAACTTATTCTATTAATAAATTCTGGCACTTCGATATTCAGACTGCATTAGCCAGACTTTCTAGGAAGGTCTTGGAATGTATTTGCATAGCTCTAACTTTATCACCTTGTCCTGTTCCTTCTGAGGAAACACTCCAGCTGACTTGAATGGAATCAAGATTAGGTCTTTAATTCAGTAGCATGATTTTTCTTTTTTAAGATATATGTTAGTTGAACAAAAGGAGAAATTTTCCTTTCAAATGCAATATAGCCCCTTCCCCAAGTTCTTTACCTGCATGTTGCTGGCAAGGGAATTGATGATTTCCACCTGCTCATCATTCTGCAGAATCACATGAAACACCTTCTGCCTGAAAGGGGAGAAGAAGATTGGATTTGAAACAGGTAAGTCAATTGAAAGGCTTTTGCTCATGCAGAAGAAATTGTGCAAATATAAAACTTGATGTCTGTTCTTACCCATCAAAAGCAAGATCCTGCTGGTGAGCAGAAACAGCTGAGAAACCTATGAGAACCAAGAGCACCCACATTTTTTTTAAAGAAAAAACCCAAGTTTTCAGTTCTTCTATGTTGCTTTCATAACCTGTTTTGTCCTGCTTTTTATCAATTATACACCAGAACAACCCACTGATTAACTGACAGATTATTCCCTTGGCCTTGTTTTATTTGCATACTATTTAAAATGTGTGTTTTACTCCACACCTGTGAAGACAGCTGAAAGTCTCAAGGGGGGCTGGCTAGAGAATCTTGCTACTTGAGCTGGATAAACTCTTGATATGAGAAAGTGACTGTAATTTACCTTGTTCTGTTGTATTTGAATTTTGATTAATTTTTTTTTTTTGCAATCATTTGGTTGCTGGAGTACAAACTTTATAATACTTTATTGTTACTTTATGTAATGGTAGATGTCTATCAGATCTTGTTGCAGTGTGACTGGTCTTAATCACACAGCATTGCTCCTCTTCCTGAATAATATGGGGGTGACTCTGACAAAGGAAGAGGAACCAGAGTTGGGATGTACCAATTATCTTGTTTTTCCCCAACAGAGGAGAAAAGTACTGAATTTGTTCTTTGCTCAGTAACTTCACTGAAACTTCTAAGTCAGGTGTCTGCAGAACTGAGAGTGTAGAAATTTCTAGTCACAGCAGAGTTGTACATATACTGCACATAATACATTCATTGATTCTTGCATGTTCTCTAATTTAATCATGTAAGGATCAGAGGTAAATATCTTTTAAATCAAGCACTACTGTGGCCATTACATGTAGGGCAAGAACATTAAATGAAATGTAGTCATACAAAAGTATTTTTAGCTTTACCTTTTGTGTTGTGCCTAAACTATCTGAGAAACAATAGTGTGTTTGCATCACTGCACTTGCATCTGTTTAGTTTTCATTAATGAGTACTTGGCATTAAATGTAACATTAATTGTCTGTTGATGCTGTGTCCTGAGGTGACTGATGTTTTCGACAGGGAGCCTCTAAATGAATCGGTGTGTAAATATATAAAGAATGCAATTTATGAGCTCAGTTCTGTCTTCTGTTGTGCGTAAGTGACCAGACTAATTGAAGGGGTTCAGACACAGATAATCTTGAAGATGTTCTTTGATGCCATGTCTCCTATTTTGCAGCAATCTACATATATGCATATCATATTCATCTCAGATTAAAAGACATAGTCACAGTTGCAAAGTGCAGAAATTTGAATTGTCAATGACCATTTTAAGAATGAATGTGGTATCAGACTCTGCACCTGACTTTTTATGAAATTCTCTGATATCAATTCAGTAAAGCTACAGTAGCCTTATGTAAAGAATACCTAGAAATATATTTTTTAAATCAATATACCAAAAATGCAGCTGTTTATGCTTAACAGTATGACCCATGATGAATATGTTCCTAAAAGGAGACTCCAAAACTGCACTGAGCCTATTTATCCAAAACTGTCTTTGCCATATCATAGGGTTTGAACTTACTTTACAATTAATGACCTAATTTGTAGCACTGCAGGCTCTTGCCCAGAAATAATCTTACTTAGAGTCAAGTTTCCTAAGAAGGATGACAGCAGGAGTTATTCTGACAGAGTGCCAAAACAATACTGCAAAGTCTTCAGAAGTTTTGATTTTATGATGATAGCATCTACGGTATCAGATAAAATGGTCTGATCCCATGAACACTGCTAAGACAATAATGTGGAGATGATCAAGCCCAGATCTTGCAGTGAATAAATGATCACAAGAAGTAATCAAACAAATTGCAGATGTCACCATTCCCTGTTGAGCACTGAGAAGCATCTTGGAAATAGAAGACTGCCAGATTTCAATGCTTGAGTTTACTTTTAAGAAATTCTTTGCTTTTTCATGCAGTTGGAGATGATGGGGTTTTTTTTGTTGCATGGGTTTTTTCTCCAAACAATCACTGATGCAGCATTATTGCCATCAACTACTGAGCTGGCAAGCATTACTGAATACTATAATTTCTAATGGCAGTCTTTGCTGTTTCCATCCCAGACCAGGTCAGAAAAAAACAATGACCTGGAATCCTACCTAAGTGATTTATTTTGCATCTCAGGATTAATGGTTATTTGTCATATTATCTCATAAACTAGCTCTAAATATTGTCTTGTTTTTCTAACTGTATAATATAAATGTTTAATATTTGTATGATAAAGTTGCAACATAAGGATAAATGAAATAGCAAATTAAATTTGTTTAAGCCATCTGTTCTTTTTAGCATCTGATTACATGCCAAGAGCACATCAGTTGGCCATGGCTGAGTAAACGTTGGCCTTTACTACTTAACACTGAGTGCAGAGGCTAGTATTAGCTATATCTTTGAAAAGATTCATAAGGAAGATGTAAATTTTTTTAATAAAACCAGCTGAATCCCAAAAGGACAGTGTGTAGTAATTTTCTTTAGGACATGTATTTTGTCTTACATTTCAGGTGAGCACAGCTGAAAAGAAATGTTAGCTATTGCAATTTTGTTGCAGTTGTTTGCTTTTTTGATTATTAAAAATAAAGCCTTCTATGATGTTGTCACTCACAAAGAGTATTCCCTGTCTTTAGTGACATGAGCTGTAAAAAGCTTTGATGCTAATAATTGGCTATATTCCAGCTGAAATTCATTTTTGTAGTAATTTCTTATTTCAGTTTTAGGAATAGAAATACTCTGGTACTCCTCTTTGAAAAGCTTATGAAGGCTAACTGCAGACTGATAAAAGGAAAAAATACACTTCAATGTTAGCATTTCAGAAGCATCCTTTATCCTGTGAAGCCTTTCATCCCATTTGTTATCAAACCAAGTCCACAAGTCTGAGGATAAATAATGTCTCTTTTTCTGGGAGTTTCAGTAGATACAGATTTTCTGAATCAGATAGTTTGCTGAGCTATATTTTAAAAAGTCTGCTATCTTTTAGTCACAATATATTGTCAGTTCTTATAAACCTTATATGACAAAATTATCTTCTCAATATTGTTTGATATCTATTATGTTCCAAAAGATCAGTGAGAAACTCCTCAATGCCCAATCTTAACACTGCTTATGTATGTAATGTAGCAAAATGCTAACATGTGCCTCAGACCAGCCACATGTGTTTGAATTATAGGGACCCTCTTATCACCATTTATTTGTTAAGGTAATATGTGCTAACCTTAGTTTTGAAGAGTATTACTATTGAATATATTCTGAAGACCTTTGAAAGTACTTTGAAGAGGCCAGGATCAGCAGAATCTGCTATCCAGCATGTGCTCCAAGCTTTCTTGGTACTTTCTCTGTATTTATATATTATTAATATTGCATTTTTTAATTCATCAAAGGCTTTTTCAACTTTAGGGCTCTGGGACTTGCTCATATCCTACTGTTTTGGTAGCTATGTGTAGGTATCTTCATATCTTCCTTTTTTTTTTTTTCCCCTTCCACATTTGCAGATGCTACTTAACATCTGAACAGGAACTGGATAAGGAGAGGAAAGAATGGGTGTGATGAGATCTAGGGTACGGAGCAAAAAAAGGTAGCTCTCATGACTTTGGGATGTGTTTCTACTTCTGCTATTGACTCATCAGCTGAGAAACAGCAAAATCTGTAACTGTTCTTTTGTATGGTCAATGAATTCTTGCCAAGGTATCTCCTGTCAAATAGGTATTATGTTTTTGTCATTGACCTCTAGTAGTCAGGATTAAGACTAAATGTATTGCAGCTTCATTATATGATCAATGCACAGATTGCTTAGTGTTTAGAAAGTATTTTATATCCCTAGCTAGAAGTTGTTGTATACACTATAAACATTCAGATTCTTATTTGCTTGAAAAAAGTGTGAAATATACTAAAATAGAAGCAGTGAGTAAAGGTATTGGGAGTGCCAGAATTCCCAGAAACCAAGCACTGAGAATTTATTTAGTGCCAAACCGAAAAAAGATATTTAATGAAGCAACGAGAAGGACAGATCTCACACCCGTTGATTACGAACATCTTCTGCTTAACTAGCTTGTCCTTGGGATGGGCTTTCTGTCACATATGAGAGTGTGGCGGGTTCTCATACTCAAGCCTATTCCCTGGCACCTGTAAGGCTGGCAGGGTCATGGCAGGACTCAGTGACAGCTCAAAAATACAAAAAAGCATAAGGTTCTTCCCCTTAAAATTTTTAAGGCACTGAGATGAGCATGCAGTATGTAGTAAGGGATCACGCCTACAGTGAAAAGTTCATAATCTAAAAAAGTGCGTGAGTAACTAGACACTGAGTACTCTTAGTAATGGAAGCCAGTTGAAGCTTTCAACTCTCATCTTGCAGTATCTGATGGGCCTAGGATTTTCTCTCCTGGTGTAGATCAGCACAACATTTACACCTATATAATGTCTCCAGCAATGCCAGAACCAGATGCTGCTGAGGCAGTGCTAGAATTATTCTGTAACGAGATACAGGAGTATCTGCCCACTATTGAGACCTCTCCAGGGTATCTAATACGGGTTGTTAGCATGTTGCCTTTCTCAGTATTCCCCTAGTTCCCATTCTGGGCTCTGCAGGGGCTGAAGGTAAATCAAGCTGTCAGTGTGCAATCATCCACCTCCAGTTTTAACAGAAGGATTTAGGCAGACAGATGAATCTCCATTTCATCCAGCTAAATATGATGCAGCTAGTGATGCTATATTGGAGCACAGCAGGATCACCATGAGTGGGAGTAAAGACAGATGATAGATAACATGAGAGTCCAGAATACATAAAAAAAATCAGCAACAAAGGTTCAAGGAAGAGGATGAAATGAGCAGCTTGATTCCACACTTAGGCCTAACTGAAGTTTCTTTTTACAGATTGCTGGGTAATTTACTGTTCTGTTTTGCTTTTTGTATGTGTTGGCCTTCATGGATGATGTAAATCATGAACATTCTTCTTCTCCTGTATAGCTTGTTTTTTATCTGTACACTTGATAGAGTTTGAGGCTTAGTGCTTGGATAGTTACCTTCAGCTCTGAATGATTTTGAAATCAGGTGCCCTTTGCTGAGAGGCAGAAGGTATCAACTGCTTTTATACCTGG